ATTCCTTCAGTTCTTTAGGAGAAAAAACTTCTAAGAACAACTCTGTTGTGGCTTTCTAAGAACGCACAGTTCTTCCAACAGAGTTCATCCAACAGATATTCCTTGTCTGTGTTTCAGTATGGCCCCTGTGAATACCTGGAAATTGAAGTCTGAATTTTTCCAGTGATTTGCATTCAGCATTTCCCCAAACCATTGGTAAACACCCTGAACCTTTAGTCAGTTTTGAAAGATACATTTCTAGCATTTTTTTTTTCAACCTAAAGTGTCCTTTTCACTCCTCAGGGAGTGAAAAAAGGGTTAAACACTTTGAAAATCTGGGTTTGTTCATGTTCTAGTGAGAGTAGAACAGAAGAGGTCTTCATAAAAGCAAAAGAGACCAAAAAGGCATCACACACTTTCATTACTTTGTCATGTTAACTGTGTTGAATTCTGATCACAAAACCAGTATGTTTAGTGCATTGTTCCATGTGTGTATTGTATCATTGGTAGCTTATCCAAATGGCTCCTCCAGAAGGGCCAGAGAATGTTTTCCTGCCTGAAGGCATGATACAAGAACTACAGGAAAAAAATTACCATGTAGTGGGGATCCGATTTTAGATCTCATCAAAACACTTATTTTCACACTACTCTATTTTAGTATGAAATGCAGTAATAATCAGCAATTGTGCACAGTCATGAACATAAGAATGCTCCTATATTAGCTTCATATTTGGCACTCTTGGTAAGAAGTATTTATTTTTTTGCTGTTGAAATCCAAGGCAAATTTCGCCAAAGTCTAACACTAAACATTTCATGTGGAGCTTCCAGGTCAAACTTAGTGCTCTATGAAAACTGTTGAATCCAGTCCTTTCAATTTAGTTCCAAAAAGAATTGCATATGTGTTTAAGACATAGTGCAGTGGGAAGATGGTGTACAAATAAGACGGTGGGATGGGTTGTTTCCCTGTGTGAACCAGAGGACTGTGGTTACTATGCTGTGGGACATTAATTAGCATCATGTAGACTCATGGGTGTTCTTTGGAAGGTTTCAGTCACTAGGGTTCCCACACAAAGAAACTTTAAACACCCACTCTATCACGTTTCAGACTCTGGAGGTTATATCTCTATATCTGAAAGTGCATTTAAATTTAAAACCAAATTTACATTAGGAGGAAAGGCAATTTTCCCATATTTTATTTGGAGAGAACATTTTATTGCAAAATATTTTATCTTTGGATTCCAATTTAGAATGTATAAAATTATACAATGCAATGTTTTATACTGTAGTGGGGAAGAATTGGGAGAGGAATTAGGAGGACAAAGTGCTCATTATCTGAAAAGCAGACGGTGCTCAGCTGGAGTACAAGCAGAATAATCTTGCATAGCCTTGTCTTTTTACAGGTTTGAAAGGACAGCCCCAGAAAGACACTCTTAAAAAAACCAAAGATTTCTGCTTTTGAGGTCAATTCAGATGGAAGGGCTATTAGTAATTTTTGGGGGTCTGAGCAGGTGGAAGAGATGTTCTGCAAGCTGGGGAAATCTCATACTGATCAGACATTGATCTTAAAGAGACACTGCATCTTTGACTGCACAGTCAGGCTCAACACTCATTTTATGCCCCTGCATTGTTTGCAAAGGACACCTGATTTCACTTCCCTTTTATTTAAACAAATTAATTTATTAATTTGACTAATTAGCTGTACAAGGAAGCAGATAACTGTTCCGTTTGCAAAAATAAAAAAGAACCTTAGAATTGGGATTCCCCCCCCTCCCCCACACCAATAACAAGCTAAGTAAAATATGTTTGCTACCTAATCTAGGGGATAAAGAATAACTTCTGGTGGCAAAAAGCAGTCTTTTCCAATGCCCATGGTTTGAATAAAATCTAGGAAGTTTTACACTTGGAAATACATTAATGAATTTTTGGCTTTACTTGTGATTTTTTTAAATATTGTGATTATTCAGTCTGTTCATTAATATTAAAGTTGAAACAATATAGTGAAGGTTTATCAATCTAATAAAAGACTTTCATAAGTCAGTTTTTGTGTTGTGTGATTTTTTTTTAATGTTCCTGCCTGCATTCTCACTGCCAGGTAGATGGAGCTGTAATAAACAATAATCAGAATGCACAATCTTTCCAATAAAATCACCACGTTGTGAATAGAGTCTTAGTATCCTCTATATTATCTTGCATGACAGCAGAAAATGAATGCCCACTCTGTGAATTGATCTATAAAGTACATATCACCTTCACTTCTTCAGTCTATTATTGCAATTGCTTTCCCATTTTCTGGCATGGATAAAAACATCAAGAAAAGGAAGAACACATCACATATTTCTAGTATATAGTGCCATTTTAGAAAAGAATGCTTGCTAGATTAGCTGACTAGTTCCAAATCTGGGATGTGAATCTCTGTGGATTTAAAGCATCTCACAGATGAGATGAGCACTGTGCTGGTTATCATACTTCAGTTTTACAACTGGTAAATGCTTTCCTGCATCTGAAATATGGCTGTTGTCATTGACTACATTTGTCAAAATGCCTGAGATTAATCTTAAAATTCTTGCCAGTTGACTGAAGGCACTTCTGTTTGTGTCTCTAATGTTCACTACTGTACTTCTATCTTCCACAGTCAGTCATATCATCACAGTCATCAGACAGCTTCAACAGTCTGTAGAAAATAATCCTCACTCTGGAGATGCTCTGTTGAAGGAGCGGATCAGGAAGTAACAATAAAACTGAGGTAGGGTGACCCAGGCACTCTTCAGGCTGTACCTCCTTTATAGAAAACCACCAGGCTCTAAGACTCCTGAAGTCAGCAAGAGTCTTTGCTGTCTTCAGCAGAACTTGAACACTACCCAAAGACTCATCAGTGGTTCAAGCTGTCAATCCAGCAAGTTTGCCGTTGGTCACTCATCACTCATTTCTATTTAGAAGACTTTAAACTCATAAGACACTTTTAAAAAATCTTTTAATTCTATAGAAAACATTAAAATAAAGCAGAAGAGTTAAAACTGAAATACTGTGGACAAAGCATACACTTTCACATCCACATTTGATAAGGATATGCACCTTTTTAATAAAAATGTAAACAAATGCAAACTCATTAAGATAATAATGTAGAATATTTAATACATCGTAAAGCACTGTAATAAAGCAGACAGTTTCACAATTTCTAGAAAGCACTTGGATAAAGGAAATGGTTGTATTAGAGGATATCTCTGGGCTACTGATAACTGAAAGGTTTGTTCTGCTAAGATTACAAAACCAGTAATTGTACTATACCTTCTAATATGAAATTTTTAAAAAGAGAAGGGAATTTTTAAGCTTAGAAAAAATGTGAAAATAATTAAAAATTTTGATTTAAAAAAAATTTGGCTGGACTTTATGTTGGGACCTCATTTGCCAAAGTCAGCTGTGTCTGTGTCCCTCACTGAGATGCACAGTCTTCTGGGACTTACTTTCACTCAGAAAGATATACATCTTTTCTGTATAGTTCAAAAAAACCTCCCAAAATTTGGAAGTATTTAACTTTCTACCTGTGTTAGGCACCCCTGAAAATCTATCATTACCGCTGCATTTACTTCTCACAGAAGCTGAAGAAAGACTGTAGTGTGACACTGCTATCACAATCACATAGCACGTACTTGGAATTAAAAGTTGTAGCTCTGCTATGCAGCAATGTAGCTACGCTAGCTACATAGAAACATGAACAAGTAGTTAGCTGCTTGCTTAAACTCCATAAATTTAAACCAGAAATATTGCAACTACATGCATGTTTTTGTACTTGTACCTAGGATCAGGGACAGACTGGAGGGAGCAGAATAAGCAGGATTAATTGGTGCTATGCCACTCAAAGTCCTTCCTTTTCATCTCCTCCCAATTAGCTTTATCCAGTCTAGTTCACATTACGGTGGAAATGCTTTTACTCTTGATATCCTTTGTCTCTTAGTTTCACTTACTCTGTTGGATTGTTTGTTAACCAGCTGAACAGGAACGGGCTAAACTTTTCAAAATAGATTAGCCCTGAAAGGTAAATCTTTAAAGAAAGCCAACACCAGCAATGCTCACAGAATCATGCTCATCTAGAAATTACTCCACTTGTAGTGATGCTTCTCTCTTTACAGGAAATGCTGGCTCAGGAATGACCTTTCCTAAACTGTGTCCTAAATTACACAGTGACTCAGAGGGCTGACTGATTTCACTGACAGACAGCTATCCAGCAACAGTAGGTTCACCACCACTTTAATCAAAGCAAAAACATCAGCTAACGTTAAGAGCTATTTTTCAGAGAAATCCCAGAGCAGCCAAAGACAAGAGCATTTGTAGTGAACTTTAGCCTGTTCAGCAACAGCACACAACATCTTGCATTTCTCTACCAAGATTTTCTGCAACAAGATGGCAGGTGTGACTAGGAATTGGCTGTATGGAAACACACCAGACTTTTTTCTTAATTCTTCTTTCTATGCCCCAAACAGTGGAGATTAAATGGAAGTAGGAATACAAATACTTGTTTCAATTTGTATCCACTATAATTTCTCAGCTCTTTTTTTCATCCTTCTCTTTTGAAGGATCTCACTTCCTCACACAATACTTCATTTTTCCCTTTCACAGCACAAAACCAACCATGCCCACAGGGTTTATGATACGACTAAACAGCAGCACTATACTGTCTCCCTTCCTGTGGGAGCACCTCACAGGCTGGAATGTCTGATTTTGAGGTCATGGTGGCTGCTGGCTGAGCATTTGCTATCAAAACCACATCAAGAAGTAACACTGGGAGCTACCTTCTGCTCTGGTAGCTGGTGGGCCGTTTCTATGTATTATTCCTTAAGATGGGTTTTTGCTTTTTTTTGTATTTTCAGTGCCACTGCTGGGAGAAACACCTGTGAATAAGGCCTGAGCTAATATATTCACAAGGCCAAAGGGGTGTATTATGTCTTTTCTAATTTTCTAATTCAGCAGGATGACCTAACAGCAAAAGAGATACAGGAGTTAATGAGTGACTAGGAAGCAGGACTTCAGAGAGGATCACTAGGAAGGACACCTGGTATCAGACTATATGAAACTCTGTTGGCATCTTGAGGAGTCACAGAAGTGCTGGTGACTGTCTTCTGGGTGACAGAAGCTTTCTTACCTTCAAGCCAGTATGTGACCATGTCTCCTTTCCCCTAAGAAAGAATATTAGTCATGGGGTTATAAACTGTCATTTATGAAACAATTTTCTTACTACAACTCAAAACAAGTCCCAAAAGGAGAAATATGTGCCTGTCAACCACTTTACATAGAGGAAAATTGAGGCATAAAACCTTTCCTTAAAAGATAATAGCAGTAGTATCAATTAAAAAAAATATCTTTGAAGTCCCATCCAAAACTGGGTCCACATATATGTTAATTCTCTTGTGGAACTCACATGATGATTTGTGATGTCTGTGAAGGACCTTTTTTGATTTCAAGCAGTCATGACAGTGAATGTGCCATGCAGGACTTCCAATCTTGACTAAGTCCTTTGTCTCTGACTTGTCCCATGAACAAGTCCACAAAATTGATCTTGGCTTAAAATGTGAACATGCACTCTTCAGGTATGGGAATTAGTCTAACCAAAGTACTGTGAGATACAGAGGACTAGAAAATATAGGGGACTGCATGGGTTAAAATTCAAGGACTCCAGAGTACTTTCACACTCTCCTCTCTGAAAAGCTGAGTATAAATGTTGCATACACACCTTGACTTGTAAATTCCCACGGCATACTAACACATACTCTCCAATCTGCTCCAACAGCTGGTATGCACTTGAACTACACTGTATTTTAAGAGCTGGAAAGAAAGATAAATATCATATTAGCAAACAATTTGTACATCTAAGACAGATCCATCTCCCAAAGTGTGTCAAAAATTTCAAGACTCATTAAGGAACTCTCTCTTGGGGTTTTTTTTTTTTTTTTCCCAAGTCTTTCATTCCATTCCTTGTTATTTGTTATTCAAAATGTTTGCGCACAAGCTCCAGTATCCTGGTCTGTTTGTGAGAGCATCTCAGGAGAAACATGGGGCTGTCAACAAACACTACTCTTCACATTCTGCATCTAATAATATTTTTGTACTCTTCACAGTTGACTATCTGTGCTACTGATGAACATCCTCTTCATCTGGTAAAGAAAACGATACACAGTTCTACCTCCTGGTCAATAAAGAGCCAGTGCTTTCAAAGGACATTTAGTTTTCAGCAAAGTCTAAAGACTAAAGAAACTAACTAAAGAACAGTTAGTCTAAACACTAAAGAAACAGCCACCGTTGCTCTGACTCCAAACCTGTAATTTAAGACAGTTGGAAGAGATGATATGAACATAACTCCACAATTTTTTAACATTGTGATTTTCCTTAGTTGAAATTTTATCTTCATGTAAACCATGTAAACCTCACTTGTCTTGCCTTTTGCAAATGATGGAGGAAGGACCAAGAAGGACAGATAGAAGAATTTCTACTTTTGCTAGAAACCAAATTTTTGCCAAAATTAAAAAAAAAAAAAATTAAAAAGGTTTTTTTTCACCTGTAACATTCTGTGACACATAGCCAATCATTATGCTTTTTTTTTTAAAAAAAAAAAAATCCTAGGTGATAGTAGGACTGGCTAAGTTTGTCTAACTGATTTTTGTTATATTAGAAAATGACAGTTCTATAATGTCCACTTTTATTTGTTTAAATGTTTTTTAGAGTCTCAGAACACTGCCTGTAGATCAGGAGATCTATGTTTCAGATACATATCTCAGAACAATTCTTTGAAGGTACATTATATTTCAACTTGTCATCTTGCTTGATAACAGGACACTAGCACTCAAATTCCAGGTGATAGCATTTTTAGTGCGCATTGCTAGTAATTAATCTATTTTAAAGCAATCATCTTAGGGTTAAAATTTGGTAATATAATTTAAGGTGTATGTGGCCAGAAAAAGAGGAAAAGAAAATAAATGCTTGAAAGATAAATGCTCTGTCTTTATTTCTATGTCTATAGTGCTGATGCACCATCTGAGAAAGAGCCTGGCATACAGAACAAAAGATAACCTATGAATGATGGAAGCAGATTTTGAAAGTATTAGTTTTAAAGGCATTCAGATAAGATGACACAAGGAACATGAAAGGAGTTATCTGGGAGTCTGACAGAAGGAAAATGAAGTTACATGTATGCCATCCATGTTAGCATTTGCTTTGGAAAAATAAAAATGATGAGAAGCAATGGATGCTAGTGATTCTCAAATCCTTCCAAAACTTTCAAATCCATCATTTAGGACCATTCCTCTGCCTTTCTGCCTTGTTTTTAGTGGATCATGATAGATGTTGAAAGTATCAGTTTTTACCATTAAATTAAACTTGAAGAACCTTGTATGTGCCTAGTTCATATACAATGCATTACAATGTGAGCCATAAAACTACTCAGCTTCATTTCGTGAATGTAAAGAAACAAGAAATCAAGGTTCTGTGACATTGAACCACTCAATCAGCTAAAATATTTCAGAATCTGAGTTTCAAATATTCATATTGGCTAAAGACGAAGTTTTCTAAGTAAACTAGGAGCTCTGTTATCTCTTAGGAAAAAGCAGTGAGAATACCTCCACAAAATTACTGTTTAAACTCTTTTCTAGAGGGCACATACATAATCTTCTATACTGGTTGAACACAGACACAGCTCCCATGATATGCTACTCTTGTGTCCTCCATTAGAGAAAGTTATCAGCAGCAAAACAGGAGTAATGAAATACTCTTACCCTAAATCCAGCTGGGTGCCAGGAACAAATAGAAACAGTGAACATAACCACTTACCTCTCATTTCGTTTTATTCCAACTCTTTTTTAATGTAGAGAACTTCAAAACCACAAAAATCCTTTCCTGAGACTTGAGAAATAAGGGGATCTGATTACAAAAACAGTTGTAGAGAGTATCACTCAAATAATTTGTCCCCAGGCAGACTGGACTCAGAAACCAAGAACCTCTTTCCAGGATTCAGAATCATTTGAATAGGTCAGGACTCAAAACTCAGCCTAACATTTTTTTTAAGAACTAATACAGGGATGATTAAAATGCCATCTGCAGTTTGTTCCTTATTACCTTCACTGGTAGATTCCATCCTGGAAGCTGTGTTCACAGTATCTCCAAATAAACAGTACCGTGGCATTTTGGTTCCAACAACTCCAGCTACAACTGCCCCTGTTAAGAAATGGAAAGCAAGATACTTTGTGTTTATAAATCACATAATCAGTCATACAGCCTTGTGGTTGCTTCCTACACTATCTTAAATCTGTTAACCAGATAAAGACTGAATGTCGGTATTGTTTTTACATGGGTTACAAATCTGTCTTACAAGTGATTTAAACATAGAAGATAAAATTTCTTGGTAAGACAATGTACACTGATTAGTTGGCAGATGCTGGGCTGCACAGGACGTGTCCAGCTCTGGCAGTCTATCAAGAAGGAATTGCAATCATACATCAGATTAAATCAGGGAGCTGGGAGTCTGAGAGTGAAGGGTAGATCAGATTGTCAAGAAACAACTCACTGTTTTGAGAAGAGAACAGCTGATAAGGACAAGTAACAGACACATAATGGCAGTTCTAACTCACATCAACAAAGACATGGGGGCTATGGGATGTTTCCAATGTGGTATTCAAAACTGAGGTACCAATATCCCATGTATCCAATAAATTATTCTTTTGGGATGACCTCTATGTTGTGTTCCACTGGGTATCAAAAAATTAATTTTATTTTTAATGGAGAGGAAATGGCCACTACAGGCACATTTGTAAGGCCAGAGGAAGACTCTTTTGCAGCTTTCTCAACATACCTGAATGTATTCCTGCTCTTATCTTTAGAAGGGTGTTAGGCTTGTGTGGGATCTTAAAAGTCCTGCAGACATCCAGAAGGTCTAAAGCCATGCTTGCGATCTCACCAGCATGAAGAATCCCGTTCTCCTTGGGTACTCCTGACACCACCATATCTTAACACAACAATGCAACTGTGTTAATCTTTAGCATTACACATAGATTTACAAAGTATGCTGCCTACAATTAAAAAAAAAATAAAAAGGAAGAAGCCCTATTCCTTCATATCCCAAGGCACAGTTGTGCCTGATGAGCAAAGAAAACCAGAAACAAATGAATGCTAGGGTAATGGCTCATGTGTGGAATTACCTTAGGTAGGAAAAATGTTATATTTCCTTCTTAATTTATTCCCTCCAATCATTTCTTACTTCATCCTCCCCTCCAGTGAGAATGGTTAAAGTGGGACAGGCAGTGCAAATGTGGCTGTTCAGTGCCTTCTGACATTGGGCAGATATTATAAAAAAAGGCAAGGACTCCAACTAGGCTTTCTTCTATGCTTCCTGCACTATGCTTTAAAAACTGATGATGGGATCTTGGGGTGCTAGAGTGCTGAGCTGTACAACCATGACTGTGAGAATGATAAACTCCCACTAAACCCTGAACTTATGTGGGATTTGCTGCTCCAGTTTGAGCCCTGTAAATCTATGGCACATGATGAGATTCATCCCATGGTACTCAAAGAACTGGTGAAATCATTGCAAGATTTCTGAAAGCGCTTTTTGAATGGTCATGGAGATCTGGAAAGGTCCCAGTCTACAGGAAGCTGGCAAAGCTTCAAGAATGGCAGAAGAATTTCTTCTGCCAATTCTTTCAAGAATTTCAAGAATGGCAAGAGGGACAACCCTGCAAACTACAGGTCTGTCCCTTTCATTTCAGTGCCCAGCAGAATTTTGGAGAAAATTTTTCTGGGAGGTAATGAAAAATACCTGAAGGACAACATAGTCATTGGTCACAGCCAGCATGGCTTCATGAGCAGAAAGCCCTGGCTGTCACATCTGATTTTCTTTTATGACAGGATAACCCACCCAGGTGATCAAGGGAAGGGAGTTGATGCTATCTTTTTGGATTTCAGTAAAGCTTTTTATACGGCTTCTACCAGGATCCTTCTGGACAAACCGTCTGGCACGCAGCTGGACAAACAAATTATGGGTGAGCAACTGGCTCAGGGGTCAGGCACAAAGGGTTGCAGTGAGTGGGGTGACACCAGACTGGTCACCTGTCACTGGGGGTTCCACAGGGCTCCATGCTCAGCCCTGTGCTCTTCATCTTCATAAATGGCTTGGACACAGAACTGGAAGGGTTAATAAGTCTGCTGATGCTACTAAATTGCCTCACAAGCAGAAAGGCCCTGCTGAGACCTTGAGAAATCAGAGGACTGGGCAATCACCAACTTCATGTTTAAGAAGGAAAATAATTAGATTCTGCTTCTGGGATGGGGCAACCCTGGATGTGCAGACAGACTGGGAAAGGAGAGGCTGGAAAGGAGAAATGAGTGCAGGAAAGGGAGCTGGGGATCCTGGTTAAGTTGAACATAAGCCAGCAGTGTCCTGGGGGCATCAGGCACAGCATCAAGAGCCGGGCAAGGGAGGGAATTGTCCTGCTCTGCTCTGCACTGGGGCAGCCTCACCTCCAGTGCTGGGGCAGTTGGTGTCAGGATTGTGTTTAGTTTGGATATTAGGAAAATGCTGTTCACCCAGAGGGTGGTTGGGCACTGGAAGAGGCTTCCCAGCAAACTGGTCACAGCACCAAGCCTGACACAGCTCAAGAACCATTTGGACAATGGTTCTCAGGCACATGGTATGACTCTTGAGGATGGTCCTGTGCAGGGCCAGGAGTTGGACTCTATGATCTTTGTGGATCCCTTCCAACCAGGATATTTTATGAGTCTTTGATTCTGTTACTGTGTAGGGCAAGAAACCGGTCTTTTAGGGATCTGTGGAGTGCATTTGTTCAGGAATTTTATGCTCAAGAATGTGTTCAACCATTCCTTGGAGAAAAAAGAGTGGGCTTTTTTGTTCCCCATCTCTTATAGGAATTCTGTCTGTCTCATCCAAAAACCCTGTTAGATTTCCTTAGGTTTTACAGAACTCAATTTTAATCATAGTCTATCCCCAGCAGATTGCCATGGTAGCTACTATAAAGCCATTTTCCTACAAAAGAAAAGATACAAAAGAGAACAGGCAGTCAAGCCCTTACAATGTATTAGGAGAAAGAAGATTGTTACGGTCTTTGCAAAAAAGACAGATAATAAAGCTTAGGGTATGGCATGTATGATCCCATGTAGAAGAAAATTTTTTTAGTTGTGTTCCCATGATACAGAGGTTGCCAACTGGGATTAATCTGCTGTCAAGACTTAAAGTCTGACCTCACTAGTAATAGGAACCAAATAAACAGCAGCGGTATTTTACTCCATTAATTTGTCCCAATTGCAACACTTTTTAATTACACAAATTAAATGCATGCAGGAAAATGTCCCTAAAGTTTGCTAGGGCTCTGCTAGAACTCATCTCCTAATTGTTTTATTTGGTCTTCCCAGTCGTAAGAAGGTTTCCAAATCTCCTTCAGCTGTTCTTCCTTGTCATTGGCGAGTCTCTATCCTGATGCACCAGGCCCCAGGCCCCATCATCATCCACAGCTCAAGGAACTTACAGGCATCTCCTATTGTCTCCACCTTATAGACATCATAGTTATCTATGATTTCATCAAAAGTGGTATAAAGCTTGTTCAAGAGATCTACCACTTGGTATGGTGTGCTGCTGCTGGACAGCTCAGTGAAGCCAACAATGTCACTGTTAAAACACAACAGAAACAGCATAATCATCCACTGTCCTAATCATTCCTGATTAGTAATCTTAAACACAGAGCAAAAATGTCTCAATGCAATTACACCAACCTTCTCTTTTCAATAATTCTTTAATGAAGATTTTTATTGGATAGTTTTGTCTTCATTTATTTAAATTTACAAAAGACTCCTTCCATTTAAAAGGACAGGCTGACCTAAGTATTTTTGCTTAGCAGTGCAGTAAAGCATTTTTACAGGTAGACTTTAATTTGTAATAGACTAAGCAGTCTTCTGTTTTGGGTTATGTAAAAATTAAAAAAAAACAAAAAAAAGGTAACTTGATATCTGTTCTTTTATGATGAGTGTGCTGAGTGAAGGTAGGCCATTTGTATATTGCTTCCTGCATGCATAAAAAATTAAAACTGTAAATCCATGTGGACTCTAAGGATAATAAATTTTCTTTACACAGGCTAAATGGTGGATTCTTTGCTTAGACCTATTTTATGAAACATGTGTAACACGTGTAAAGTGATGTGCTGCTCTTTGTTAGAGCTCCAGAGTAATGTCATTTTTTATTTAAGCAATTCTAATTAAAAATAGGGAGATGTGAGAATTTTGAAAGATGCTATTTTGTAGAACCACCTATTACAACAGGTGGCAGTTTAGATAGAAATTCTTTGCTCAGTTAGGAGCTTCACCTCCACTGGAAGCCTAGGAGTATCTTCTGTAGGAGACCATTCTAGTCCTAGCTTTCATTTTTTGTTTACCTGAAGAAGATGGTGGCACTTGAGTAACTTTGAGCTTGTGCCTGTTTTCCCTGCCTGAGATCATCTGCTACTTGTTTTGGCAACATACCTGTTGTAGAAAGTAGAACATTGTAATATTTTTACATGGAAAAAAGAACATATTAAATATAACATGCTGGTTTCATTGCACAAAAAATGTTCATAAATGCAAAATATTATGAAGGTGAAAATACACTTTGGCATCAAAATCTGCTCTGCTGTAATGTGAGGATTCACAATAAATATCACTGATAACACATCCAGATTCTTCACACGGCCCATAACTTTTAGGCCAAACAAACCAGTATCTATACATTTCAAGAAAGAGTAAGGTTAGATTCTAAAGGTGCGGTCTAGGATTTTACTAGTTCTTTCTTTGTGAACTCTTTGCTAGTCCTTTCTGCCTGTGTTAGGTTTGGTTACTATCTCTTCCCTGTTCTGTTTTTTTTTAATTGTATATGTTCCCCCTATCTTGGACTTTCACATCCCTTTGTTTTTTGCTTTCTTATATGCTATTCCCATCTCTTTTTTTTTTTTCCTTTTTTTTCTTACAGAATTCTGGAACATACACTGCCATCAAAAGCAAAAAACTACCATTCCACAACATTTATAACTATGCAAAAGGCCTGCCACACAGATGCAAAGTCAGAGCACTATGGATTTTGGGCCATAAATCTCAGATGAGTGTACTGATTTCATGGGGGGAAATACAGAAAGTAGCTAAATATCTTTCCAGCTTTGCAAGAAACAAGTATATTCATTCTTTGCTAGCTAAGTATTACCTATTAAATAATCACCTATCAAAGGATTCTTGTTTGTAGTTACAAAGCTGAAATAAAATTAGTACTGAGAAGAATATCCAGTATTTTTTTCTCTATAACTTACTATACAACAGACAATCAGTCTTCTGTTTTTCATGCATTAAATCCTGGGTTCTCTCAGCAACCAGTATCTCCAGATGTTTGTTATATTTCTCCATCTAAATAATAGAGAATATTGTAAAATTTTTCAGAAATTCTTTTTACTGAAAAATTTCAGAAAATCTTTTTACTGAAACAGATGCCTAACTGGATAGGATTTAAGTATTTGAATGATTCTGCTTTGAAAACATTCAGAGATAAAAAAGGACACAGGCCTAAGACACCTAACACTTTTTTACAAAACCCAAAGAACAGGTTTCTCCTCAAGTAAATTTATGAATTTAGACTTGAGGTTGTTGCTTACATACAAGACAGCAGAAGGCAATTTCAGACTTTTCAAATTTCATGCAAACTTGAGGGGCCAAATCCAATGCAGAGAACAACATACAAACAAAATCTTAACAAAACAAAAAGTACCTAAGTCTCAAACTTTTATCAAAAACTCACATGGCTTTCATAAACTATCTTGCTATGTTAGTCTGTGCTTTGCTTTTTGCACCCCTCCTCTGTGTGAGGCAATAGTCTGGAGGCAGGGATCTTCCTTCTCTGCTGATGGGCTTGAGATACTCTGCTCAAAATGATTTATAAACATGCTATTTGTAGCATGCAGGGATTCTATATTTGTGATACTATAAGAGCCACAGGAAAAGGGGAATATAGTTTGCAAACAACATTTGACAGACAAAAAAAATGTTCAGCCCCAAAGAAGTTGAGAAAGTTAAAAAACCGAATGAGGAGAAAAGCTGGGTTCCAAGCAGAACTGCAGCTACAGTCACCCCAACAGTACTGGACAAATAACTGTGGATATTTTTTCCAAACAAGGGGTATAAGATTAAAAAAAAAAAACCAAAACAACCCTGAAGTATATAGGAAAGTGAGCAGATTGGATTGGATTAAAAAGTTAAATTCACCAGAGTCATCATCATGTCAACAGGGCTAACAGGATTCATCTTGTACAACATTTTCTTGACTTGTTCAAACGTAGGCCTTTGGGATGGATTATTTTTTCTGCACCTTTCAATTAACTGCAGAAGGGAAAGAGAGTGAGAAAAGCAAACCGCCTTTTATTATTCCATGCACAAGCAGTATTTTAAGTTAATATTTCTGTTTGCTTGGTGCCAACTGCCTATGCGAAGCTCTATCTGCAGCTGGTGAAGTGTCACAGCTATACTGAAGCCTCTGGAGTTCTGCAGGCTTTTGCTGAATGAAGGATATTAGTTCATGAAAATTCTGCTGTGGGAAATCATGAGTAAGATATACACGTTCCTTCTGCCGAACACTGCTTAAGCTCTTGTCTTGTGCTGTTAGAGAGTGTTATATATGTTATATATAACAGCATATATATACTGTTTTCAGAAGACTTGTCTGTACACAAATTTCACAAGATTAAGAGCTGAAGTACCCTTTAAGAATGTTAACTTCTGATTAAAAAACAGTGCTGCTAAGGAGAATTTTTTTTACATTTATGTTGCTACAAACCAGCAAAGGTAAACTATATTGCATTTAAACAGAAATAAGGATGACCCCATCTTGTTCTGATTTAATTAAACTGGTAGGGGATGTACTTTATTGAGGTTACTGAAGAGAAAGACTTGTTGCATAAGAAGGAAACCAAACTCATAATTTGCCTGAGACAGACTTCATTATGTGAAAGCCCTCTGTCAGTAAGCTAGATATTACTAACATAAAATATGTATGGAATTCAACACTTCATAATAAAATGAAATTGCACAAAAAAAATCAATGATTGAATATTAAAACCATAATCTACTACACTGGAAACTGGAGAGGACAACTGAATCTTTCATTGTCACAATGACAAGTTTTTTATTAGGGATATTAAATATTATCATTTTGTCTTGTTTAAGGTGTACTTCTTGATTTCTGGGCTATTTATATTTATCAAAGGTAATATTGCCATAAAACTTCTATGACATGTTGTAAATTAATTTCAATAAATGATTTTTGTACACAATATTGTACTTACAATTTGTACTTTACTTTACAATATTGTATTTTACACACCTCTACATAATCTGCGGGACATGGGCAAGAATTCTCAGCCTTTCCTGAAATTAATTCTGCCAAAGGTGGGCACCAAGAATATTCAGCTGAATGCACATCATCTTTCTAGAAAAAAGGGGATTAAACAATGTTGAAACAAGTGTAATGGTTCTCATGCCAGACACTGAAAATATAGTACTATTATCATCATCACTTTTATAGCATCTTCCCTATCACTTCTAAGTCAGCTTTTTTTACATAACAGCACAAGGGAAAAGAAAGGATAAAAAAAATATATAACCCAGTCTAAAATGGGTCACCTTTTCTAAAAGCTTTTTAATGGCTGACAGGCTTTAATCTTAGTGTTTATATGGCATAAACAACTTTTGAAACAAATGAATACCCGGCAAGATATTAGGAAACTTTTAGGAGACCACAAGGACTATATTAGTCTATTATCACAAACAGTAAGAACTGGAAAAATAGTAGTTTCAAGTCTTTATTGTTACAACTCTTGTTAAGCAAATTATTTCAGAGAGAACATGGTTACATATCCAGACCATCTGTTTCCAATTTCAAGGTGCGTTATTTTTGTGTTTGCCATTTAGCAGTGATCAAAAGACACATGGAAAACAGATATTTTACTTATGGAGAACAGGTAATTTGCTTTTCCACTTCCACTTAAAGAGCCTGTAAAAGACAGGAAAAGGAAGAAGCAGGAGAAAAAGAATGATATGAATACATTCTCTTTGCCTCCACCTAGCCATTAAGCCTCACAAAGCTAATCAAAAGGCTGTTTTGGAGCTACATTATTTTTATCATCTATTCTTCTTCGAAGCTCTGTAATGGAAAACTGGTAGATCTATAAGGAAACCCTGATTGCATGTTCCATGGGAGCTGAACTGGCATCCATAAAATAATGAGGAAAATGCATGCTCATAAAGTAACTCAAAGGTGCAGTAACTCAAAGTTTGGTTTGTCTTCAGCAGAAACAGAATCAAAGTCGTCATGCAATTTCTACCGATAGTTCATCTTTACTTACTGCTAGAGGGTCACTTCTTGTGGCAATTTCTAGTAAAATGATAGCGTAACTGCATAATAAAAATGAAGAAAAACCTTAATACAATAACAGTTAATTGAGTCAGTCATTTCTTCCTGTCATGATTTATTATTCTTCCCCATTCTATGACCGAAATCCCAGTATCTCAAAAAGAAGGATGGCAATGGTGCTGCTACTTGCTACTGCTTTGTGCTTTCAGGAATTTGCTACAGAATGTTTCATAGCATTTGTCTCTCATGGTTACAGACCCCAGAGATGTTTGTGTTTGATGGACAGCAATTCTCTCTGTAAGTATTAATGGAATCCGGAGGTGATATGTCCAGGTTTATGTATATGATTCCTACCAGTTAAACATAAGTGTCTGATTTTTGCTCCAATCAAGGATCACGAGCAAGTTCATCAGAATCACCAGAGGGGGGAATGGCTTTTTTTCAGCCACCAAAAAGATTGCTGTTCTAGAAAATTTTCATTAAGTCTGTGATGACATAGTGTTTCCAGAGGAGAGATTTTATAGTAAGCATTTGTGCCTGTTCCTTTTGAATTATATTCTTATGGTCATTATCTTCCTCAGTTGAACTAAGGTCTAATACATTCATCATGGATGAAGAATGGAAAAAGACAGTAAAAGCAGAGAATTTAGGCTTTTTTTCTGAACTCATTTGAGATCTTCCAGAACAGTGATCTCTTAGAAGCAAGCACCTCCTTCAGCCAACAGGCTGGATAAAGATGTCTCTTTATATAGTAAAACTGTGTAATAATTTACCCCTGCATGCCCCTCAGCTTGGTAACATTTACGTTTTTAGAGAATATTGGTTTTCAATTTGTGTCACTAATGGTTGCACTGTTCTGTAAGACATTCTGCTGGTAACAGAATGTTTATCTGTCTTTTAGCCCACCTGTGGACCACCACTGGAAAATAAAATAATGTATATAAAACACAATGAATAATTTAGAAATTAATCTGATGATATTTTTATATTAATTTTGTGGTGATTTGGTAGGAGAAAGCAAAATCAATCCTGGTAAGGCAGCAAAGCTCAAACAGGATAATAATTAGATGAGAGTAAGTCTGATAAAGCAGCACTGATTTAATACCTCTTCAGATGCACTGCACAATAAAATTCACTATCCGTTGTGGATAGTGAAATTCATATGACAATTACAAATCAAGAAGAACCAATCTAGGACAAACTGTGACTGGAAATATCCTCTTCAGCTCAAAACAGGAGCTACATTCATTCTTTTGTTCTCATATCCATTTTAGCTTTCCCATCTGAACAACACTTTCCTGGAGAACTTTAAAAGCAGGTGATTCATCTGCAAGAGCACACTAAATTACAAGTCCCTTTCCTGCAGTTTCTACTAATTTTTTATTTGGGCCTCACTTCCAGGAATATTAATGGAACATTTGCACAGATAAAAACTGAGGATTTCAAGACTGGATCAATGCTGCCTGGCCAGTGAGGCCAAATACATGTATCAGGAAGGTTTACCTTCTGCTTAAATATTCAAAAATAAATTTTGTTAAAATGTAAATTCTAAAGAACAGCCCAGATAAGAAGACAACCCTTTCAATGGTACAGGGTACTTCTCTATTTTCCCCGTCTGCATGTTGCTCTTCTCCCTTTTTTTGGTGTGATCTCTCACTGCTTTTACTTTTTTCTTTTTTTTTTTTTTAATCAAGAAATTAATAACTGCAGTGCCATAAAAGAAGATGTAGATTTTTCATACATGTGGGTTGGACAGCAAGATAAATCCAGGAAACATTCACTGAATGTGTTGAAAGTTCATTGTAGACGTATAGGATAGGAGCAAATCAGATCTTTGGACTATTTAAAAGGGAACCCTTGGCAAGAAATGCCTTCAGGAGGCAAAGTCAAATAATGATATCTATCCAAAACAGGATCAAAGTGAGAACAACAAACCAAGGAAACATTTTCTGGGATACATTTTAGCTGCAGGGCAGTGGTAAACTGGAATGCATAAGACAATCCTAAAATTATTGTTTAGTTGGAGCACAGTTCTTTCAAAGACTACTTCATGCTGAAAAAGTACAGATCAATATAGGAAAAAGGACAGTAGCAAGAAATGCCAACACAATCCCAAGCTGCCTTAGCTGAGCTATTTCGGAGAAAATTCTAAGGACATCTTGAAGCCTATAGGCAGAAATACTACTGAGGCTTCAAGTTCTTGCTCAGTTAATCTGATAGAATAGATAAAAAGTAATGATGTTCAAGCATATTGTATATGCAGACATTTGTTTACAATTGTGTTCCCACTTATCTGAAAAGCTATTGGATAGAAGCAGACAACCACTGGGAGAGAAAGCCACTGGAAAGCAATCTTCTATAAAGACTTTCAAAAGGAAAGGAATGGAGCTATTTGCTAGTGCACCCACTTTTTCCCCTTCTCTTTATTTTTCCACTGTAAACCAAATATTGTCACCATGTATATGCCCCCAAGTAATTGTACTGACACTCAATAATAGAATTACAGGATGCATATGTGCATTATGACATTCTAGAACACTGATGCTATTAACTTCTGAAGTATTGCCATTGTTGAAAATAATTCTACATTTCATAAGAAACAGAAACAGAAAAAAAAGGATAATTAGATAATAGCAGATCTTTATGCCTTTTTATCTTACCAGTCAAGTGACTCCTTATAAATAATTGGACTACCTCTGCTTTTAAATAATGTCAGCAAACTCAGTATTTGATTATCTACCTTAAAAGAGAAGATCCTGTGATATCTATGCTGTTCTGTATCCCAGAACCAATCCTTTTAAAAATACAATCAAACATATACCTGGAGTGACAACAGAATTGCGCCAAGCCTAACTGTTGCTAAAGAATACTCACGATTACTTGACGTGAGATCAGGAAAACTTAGCTACCTGTAGACATCAGACATAGAATTGGGTTCAAAATCTGAAGGAGCATGTATTTCTGGAGCTGTGTAAATCTGTATCAAATGCTGCTGGGCTGAATTTGATCCATCAGGAAAATCTTCTTTTCTGTATGACTGCAAGCCATAATCTAAAGTGGAAGAAAACAGGAAGTAAACTATTGAGTGGATACTTCCCTGAAACAAGTGCAGTACTAAACAGTAACACAGCTAGTCTAAATAAATTATTTTTCCCTATTCTAAATACATATCTTTATCTAGAAATAATGGTGTTTGTGTGGTCTTGCCCCCCTAGAATTGCAAATATAGCATCTGGAAAACCAAATATTTGGGCAAGACTGAATGAGAGCAGGGAAACTGAACTGCAATCAGAATTATCTTATGATTTTATCAAATTATTTTCAGCTAATAGTCTCACCTCTGTGTAAAAGTTGGCATGTAAATACAGGTTTCTGTTCTACTTTGTCCCTTGATCCTTATCTCTGGTGGCAAGTTGCTCAAGTAATTACTAGTTAGACAGACTAATGACAATCAGATGGTGGGCGTCACTTGAACACCACTAGCATCAGAACAAAGGCAGCATAGAGTGAAACATCTTTCCATCTATACTTCTAGCCTAATATAGAAGGAATTCTTAGCATATGACTCAGAATCAGGAAGAATAAGAATAAAGAAACTGACTTCTGTTTTCTTTCTTACGTAAACAGCACTCTTCTGGCTGTATGTGAAGGCTGGATGCAGACATCTGGTTTTATCTGGAGTGACCTCTAATTAAGATGTTCCTAGGGATTGAATCTTTATGTGGAGGTCATTTTTAAAATAGCTCCCACATTTGTTATTTATGAGGTTTGTTTGACATTATTGCATCCAGATAAATCATTAAGATTTGAAAACAGTTTGACACAGAACAGAATCAAAACAAAAGTTGTTGAATGATTTCACAGATATCCTATTCAATTGAGAGAAGCTGTGCTAAGGTGATGCAGTGGATGTAATCCAACTATGTCTCATTTTTATGTTTTTATCCAGAAGAGGCTCCAAGCAGAGTAGGCAGTTCTGAAGACAGAAGGATACTGAAGGTGTTGGAGAAGTAAGCCTGGCCCTTTGTAGGAGCCTTAGTCATAGGATATACCACTGAAAAACAAATCTGCTGCTGCTGTTTTCAGGATGGCTATGGATTAGAGAGTATGATGACTGCTCTGGGCAAAAAGTAGAAGAGATGATCATTGCCTTAATTCTCTTTGGCAGCTGCAAACTAAACTAGAGTCTCCAGTGGTTTTCCTGCTCCCACAGGCTCTCTTCCTGTACCAAGAGTAGACCTGACCCGCAGGTCCATCTCTGGGAGAACAAAATTCAATGCTGTGAACAAGAGTTAAAAGCTCTGAGTTGAGTCTGCTTTTCTCCATTAACTACCTTGCGCTTACCAATCAGTCAGCATTTCTACATCTCTTTACACCATTGTCCATGCCTCAGGGTTCTCTCTCTATCAAAAGAGAGCATGAGGCAGAGTTTATGCTCAGATGTTGACAGGCTGAATCATTTGTGGATCTGAAGTGTGCATCCGTGACACATACTAAATGAGTTGACTTCATAATGCAACATGAGACTTGCTTCAGCACAAGGCGCTGCTAGTGAAGTCTGGTACAGTCAGCAATTCCACATGAAATGTCAACATGAAAGGAAGAGTGTTGCATGTGAAATCTATAATTAGTGGGTTAGCTGGACAGTTTTGAAAATTTTTTCTAGCCTTCTCTTTACCTGCAATTTTACAAACCCACCGGTCATCTATCACACAGTTATTAGACTTCAACCGTCCATGACACATTTTGTGGTGGTGGAGATAGGCCATTCCTTGAGCAATATCAGTAGCAAAAGAAAACCTGAAAGTCAAAATACAGTGAGCTAGTATTTCCAGTTTCACTCAAAATTGGCTCCAAAGCCTATTGAAGTTTACAGAAAATGCAGCTTTCCACTTGTGTCCCCATGGTCATTTTTCCGAAACACTTTTGGTGACTGTTTGAAAACCCATATCTCCCTGAGCTCACAGGCCAAGACAGTAAAGTTTCCTCTAGAAATTGTTAGTACTTTTTTATCCTTGGGAGTGCTTACACATGTTTACCAGTGAAACAATTTTATATCTTCCTTGCTTTATTTGGAAGGTTTCCTTCCTGAAAACCATTTTTCTTTGCTGAAGGCAAGCATACAGCAGAAGCAGAATGGACATGTCAAGAATATTGATCTCAAAAAACATGTCATTGCCTTTGTGAAAGTTTCGTTGACAATGTGAGCTCATTTCCTGTATTGGTAAGAATAATAAACCACTTGTAGGTATGCTAGTAATTTCATCAATATGTCTTCACAAACAGAGATGTAGTGGGTTTTAATTAAATAGGGATACCGAAGATATTTCGGGACAAAGTAAAGTTATATAGGAATAAAGGGTTTTAAAACAGTTTTGCGGTATAGCTAGAGAAAGTTGACAAGTCATTGGCTTAGCATTGCAAGGACTGAACATAAAACACCCAAAAGACAAGTTGGACTGGATATTCAATTTTCCCTCCTTCCCTCCTTCCCTTCATTCCCTCTTTCCCTCCCTCCCTCCCTCCCTCCCTCCCTTCCTTTCCTCCCTTCCTCCTTTCCTCCCTCCGTCTCCCTATGTCACAGTAGAGTCTTGTCTAGACAAGAACTTTAGATAAAATTAACATCTTGTATCAAACAGCACATAGCACAGTCTATGTCATTTAGCTTTTCAAAAGTTAGATTTTTTCACCTGAAACCCCAGTTCAAAGGAATATCTTCATTGAGGAGCACATCATTCAGGCTGCCTTTGGGGCAGTACTCTGTGACAATGGCAACATTTGGAACTTCTATACATCCTCCAATGAATTTGCAGAGATTGGGATGGTCAAGTTCCCTGTGAAAATCAACAAAAATCACAGCACAACAGTAATTTTCACAGATATCGATCCTAGTTTTGTAATGCAACTGGAAAACCAAGTGCCTTGTCTCACAATGTAGAGAAAAAGTAAAACAGCCATATGGAAATTTTAATCTTTGTTCTCTTCCAAGCAAAGTTTGAAAGAAAGAGGAATATGAATTTACAGTCACATTTGGAAAGATTTTAAGTTCTAGAAAATCAGTGTAAAAATGGAACAACATACACTTCTTAGATTTCACTTCTTACCTTACTTGCTTTACTTCTTTACGTATGGTTTTAGACAGTGTGAATGTCTTCTTCATTATTTTTTTTATGGCCACTGTTCTACCATCACTGAAACAGAATAAAATGCTGTTTACAGTTTTAAGGCAACTTCAGAAGCCAGCAATACTACAGAAATAGACTACATATATTTTGTAACTACATATATTTTGTAACTGCTCCACATCTCTAGAGTTGAGGCAGAGAATTTAAGCATGTTCATATGTGATTGTAACTCTGAATCTAAGACAACAGACAGGACCCTGTTTCTTTTGATAAAGGAAGCATTAGTGACTATATTCAATCAATCTTGATATGTGGACACCATTTGGAATGTGAGTGTTAAAGTCAGTTGGGGCAGTTTGATGATGGAGTAGCAGCAAAGGAAATGTCAGAGCTAAAGAAATACATACAGCCACCTCCCATCTATCCATTACTTTTGGCTACTGTTCTGCAGATCCTTCACAGACATTTAACAAATTTTGTTCTCATTGGGTTGAGCATTCTCAGCAAAAAGAAGCTGAGTTCGATCAAAAACAAAGAAATTTTCCTTTTTAGAGTAAAGGGATTCAGTGGAGATACCTGCAGGAATTTTAGTGATGACCACCATATAAACAGAGTATGGAGTGTTTAGTGCAGCAGTTGTAGCTGCTTCACCAATGAGACTGAATGCTCCATTCAGTCATTTTTCACCCTTGATAAATGCTTTTGATGTTGAGTCATCTGTGGAAGGAGCATGATGATGATGATGATGATGAAAATGTCACCATTCAGAAAGAAACAAAAAAGATCAATTCTGAACACAGTATTTCATCAATGAAGTGGCTGTGATTTTTCACAGTCTATGCTGAAGGCACTTTCTCCCCCAGCCAACAATCCCAAGTAAGCTCTTCTTTATCCTACAAAGCACAGATCCTTCAAACGATAAGTACCACTTCCAGCTTTGCACATGTTCAATTGCCTTTTGGAGGGCAGGATATATCTATTATATTTGTCCTTATAGTTACATGATATGCAGCTTTGTAATTTGATTCGGAGGTGAAATGCTCTGAATCTTGAGTTGTGTCAGCTGGTTAAAGGACAAGATTTCTAATGTGCTACTGAAGAGCAAAGAACCTAGTTTGCTCTGCTTGCATTTGAGAAAAAAGAGATTTATAAAAGTCTTGATTTCATATACATTTGCACATCAAGGGCCATTCATTAACAGATGCAGGATATCTTACGTACCAACAACCTTTTAACAAGACCCTAAGAGAAAAGGAGAAATGACAACCAAACCAGAAACCTGGCATGTACAACACTCCACAGCCAATATGCAGTACAGATGACCATCTTAACCAATTTGGCCTGACAAGATAAATTCATGCTTTTTCGCTGCCTATCAATTGAAAGTGGCAAGAACCAGAAATCAAGGTGAAACTAATATAGTAGATACTGCAGTAAATGAGTAATATATTGACTTACTATCTCCCAGTCTGGGTGAAGTATTTCCTCCTGGACATGTTGGCAGCTGCTGTGCAGGAGCTCAGAGCAGTAACACAACTGACACTGGAGTCACTGAGTGCTGGGGGAGCACTCATCATGCTTCCTGTTGCTGTCTGTATAATGCAATCTAAATGGGATGTGGGATGAGAAAAGGCATACAAAGGTGCCTATTTATGCACAGGTGGAGACTCCAGAGACAAACAAATATAGAGAATTTTCAAAATCTTTGCATCTCATCTGCTCTTGTTAGTACTTAAGAAAGCCATTGCTTGAAATGGGACTGCTGCATAAAAAGTAAAAAATGTTTCAAAGAGTATTCATTGCCAGAGATACTTCTCACTAATCCTCAGGATTTTATGCAACTTTCATTTTTCTGTTCTCGAGATGATTAGCCCTTGCTGCTACATAGAAGCTGAGGACAGAACCCAGGCAAGGAGAGTAAACCCTGTGCCATACTTTAACAAGTCTATTTGGAGCTCCTAGAAGACTGTAAAGTACAGGAATGTGGGAAGTGATTCTGACACCAGAGAGAAGTCAGAGAAGAGCAACAATACAGTAAGAGAAAAAAAAAACCCAGTGATTTTCAAAGTGCATTTTTTAATGTCTGTTGATCAGCTCACAGTGAAAAAAATGGACTTCAAAACAAATTTAATGAGCTACATATCGTGCCATAATCTCCAATCAAAATCCAGGTTTAGCCAATTAGCCTCAGAATTGCTGAGACCTCTCAACTCTCCCTGGTAGAAATATCTTGCTAAGGAAGTTCAACATCTCACCTTGAATCAGGACTGCCATGTTCCCACACCACAGTATTATCCATATGCAGTTCAAAATTGCATTGACATTTGAAGCGGTCTACAGCATTCCACCCAGAAACGCATTACAGATCCCTCAGATAGTTAAGACTGCATATATATCTTTATGTCAATATATGGTGCAATACAACAAAAAAATAAGTTATCTTAAAAAAAAAAGGTTAATTTTTCATACTGAGGGCTACATACCCTGGATATAGCACTGCTGATGTGTTTTCATTTAGATATCTATGCATTTCAGGCTACTGTGGGTAGCTCTGAACAATTCTATCCAGAGAAGACACATTGTCTGTGACCTTATAATGTTATCAGTCCTCATTAAGTTGTTAATCATAACTCTTAGAGCAATACTCTGAAACAGCATTGCTGCTTTGCAGGCTTTTTTCCAAGAAACTTACATCTTTCATCTTGGAGTTTTCAAAGTAATTTTAATCTGTTATTTTTTGATCATGCTTCTAATTTCCCTCAGTCTTTTTCTATGACTTTCCCTCACAGGTGATGCTTATGGCATTTTCTAATTTACTTTCAATTGAAAATTTTGCTCATGTTACTTTTTGCTGTATTGAAAAACACTTTTCTCCACTTCTGTTTTCAAAAATCTGGATTGAAATTCGTGTCGGTTCCTGTAATCAAATTAATTTCTAAGCCAAAATCTCTTATTTACAACAACAAGGATATGTTATCAAAAGTATACAGAAATTAATGTTCAAGTCTAAGGCTGAAAGCATCTCTACTACATATTATCACAAGAACATCTTGACACTAGCAACCCAACAGAACACAGACAAAGGAGACATCTGCTGAGCATTTTCTCCCAGAGACAGAAAATGAGAGTGTGTGTAATCAGCACAGCAGACTTCTATAGATTTACCCTTTCTGAGGATCTAGGTATTGTTTTCCTTCTGAATGCTAAACAAAGGAAAAGCAAAGTAAATAATCTATATGTATCTTAAGTACAGCATAATAAAGCATATAATAATGTCTGAATTTATTCTTAACTTGTTTAATTAGAACAAATTAAATAGTATTTTTTACCAGAAGACAAAATAGAAAAGAACCTCTGGCCAAAATTAATTACTTTTTGTAGTAAGTCTGCCACAGACAGCAAACACTGAGAGAAATTAAGATAGTACTATATACCTCAATATATTTGTGCAATTCCAGGACAACTTAGTGAGATCAATTATACAGAAAGGTATACCCACTGAAGCAACTGTAATTTGTTTTGTCCAACTCCAGAGCTTACCTGTTTATTATGGGGTACGCTTGTCTTTTTTGATTTATGTTGATTAACAAATCAACATAAATAAGAAGGAAACTATTTAACATAACTTTGTCATCTAAATGTTTGATAAACAAAAATATAAGTGAGCAGCTCACAGAGATTACAGGGATGAAATATTGGATATGTCTTTCAAAAACAGCTTCACTTTTTGCAAGACTCTTAAAATATGAACAACATAATTGAGATTATTTCTCAAAATTAATAAGTAAACTGATCACAGTATCAAAATTACAAGTCACTAACCTTGTTTGATGCAGGTGAAGTCTATAATCCAGCTTTCATCCCAAAGCATCTTTTGTTTCTGATATTGAAACCACTACAAGAGTAAAAAAAAAATCACTCCTAGTGTAGCCTGCCTCTCTTTGAAGGAATTGACTCAGAGATTGTTTTTATAAAATATAAAAATTTAAAAGTATACAAAATAAATCTGAAGTGTAAGCATTCAGCATATGTCTTACAGTAACATTAGAACCAAAAGTATTAATAACAGGCTTAAAAGAAAACAGCATTGAATAAATATATTAAAAACTGCACAGGCTATATTCCAGAATTAATTACATGTAATATTTTGCATTGTCTACTAACTCTCCATTATTGGCAATATTTATGTATTTACATTTCAGCCTGGACATCAGATGAGGGGTTTACATCATCTCATCTCATGGAAGTGCCCTATTGATGGAAGTACATGACAAGAACACTTCATCCCAATCCCAAGATAAGGAGCAATGTATCTTACATCTTGGAAGAGAATTAGCCCATGCCTACTAATTAGGCCATATTATGTCAAATACTCTATTATAAAGAATATTAGGTAGGGATTCTGTGGCTACTTTGTAAAGAAGGCATTGAGCTAATAGCTGATTTTCGGTAGAGCTGACATACAAAGCTAACATTTACAAAGTGTAAATACATGCTTTCAAATGAGCAACAGATTAAATTATGCAGTTGTTATGACTGCAGTCAATGCCAAAATGTCAAATCAAAGCAGCATTTTATCATCATTATACCATTTTCTATAGTGCAAAATTTAATATTAGGACTGATGCATTCATTGAAACAGGCAATAAAAGCCCAGATAATGAACAAGGAAGAGGTTGTGGAGACTGTGTTGACATACTGGTTGAAATTGCGACAAATATAGAGCTCGCTGAATCCAAATGAAGTCATCCCATTTATTTCAAAAGGCTTCTGAGGAAAGAAACCTACATTTTATCTTGCAAAGGTGTGACTGTATAAAGACATACTAGCAAGAAGTGAATACTAGGCTTGCTTCCTTTGACACTGATATCAAAGGAATCCTTTCTGCTACTCAAAGCATTAAAGAAGGCATTAGTTTCCCAGATAGCTCCTTTTACATTATATCAATTCCTGAATTAGATAAAATAATCTTTCCTATCTTATGACAGTAAAACAAATAAAACTTAAAAACCCCATGATGCTGCTATTGAAGAAGTTAGCAGGAATATGTCTACAAAAATGAAAGAAGGAAAAAAACTCCAAACATACAGAAAAACCAGCAGAAATAATAGATTTTGCTACAAGAGCTTTAAATAAACAAGAGATATGCAAGGCCAAGAATCTCCATTGGTCTTTCTAAAAAGCCAGTCATCTAAAACTGTCTGAACTTCTCATCTGTCCAGCTGTATATTTCTATCAGATCATGTGGTTTTACGGGACACTTGGTATAAACTCATTATCACAACTTCCTTGTGGATTATGAATGCTCAAATAGCTTTCAACAGTGTTTCTGTTCCTAACTCAGAAAGTCACACAGTGACAAACAAACAAACATGATTCAGGCCTCCTTTAGAACCTCAATTTGTGGGCCATCAGCTTTCTCCTACTCATTCCCTATCTGTGCAGCTGCCTACCTCAGATGCTCACTGCAACTGCAGTATAAGATGGACAGAGAAGGAATCCCAGAGGAAACAGGAGCCTATAGTTTTACAGGATATAGTTTTACATATATAGGCCAAGGGCTAAATAAATTGCCCGTTACGAAGATAGTCAATACAATGAGTCTACAGCTGCCATATTCACCTGATAAACCTCTGCAATGAAACTCAAAAATGTATTTTTTTGAAGATGCAGACAGATAAGGAATGCAGATACTCTCTCCCAGAAGCATTGTTAAGTAATAAGCCATAATATCATTCTCTCCTTATACACACATTTTCATTCAAAGACTCCCAAAACTACTTCTCCAATTTTGATACACTCCTATCTCCTCATTCCCTTTTTGTTTTTCCTTCAGGAGTCTGCTATAGTAATAGATAATTATTATGCAAAATTAATCACTTTGAAAGGAATCAAGCTGATTGTTACACTAAGAAAACAAACCTATTTAAAAAATCAAGCAACCAAAACATAAAAAAACCAAATTATCCTCTCCCCATGATTCTTTTGAGAATACCGCAACTTGAATGTTTTGCTTTTAAAGTTCTATTTGGACTCTGAGATTTAACGGCCTCTTGTGGAGCTAGTCCCTTAATGAATTTACCTAATTTGTTTTTGAAATCTTTTATAATTCTGGCTTCTATAAGGTTTGAAGCTGTTAATTTCATAACAGAGTTCTATTGTGAGTGAAAAGTACTCTTACTTTGTTGGCATCACCTACTCCCCATGTTGTGGAATTTTTTTTTTCCTTTACCATAATTTACCATGGGTAAATTCATCTATCCATCCCCCCATTACATTCCACCTCAGTCTTCTCTCTTTCAGGACGAAAATTCCCAGTACAATGTGACTTCCCTCATAAGGAAACTTTAAAAGTCGTTTGCCTTCTTTCTACTTTTTTCCATAGCACACAGATGCAGGAGGCAGAAGAAAATCTCTCCCTCTACTTAGAGAGAGCTCCACTCTGTCTAATAAATTCATTGAAGAGAAAGGAAAGAAAGGAGTAGAGAAGAGGTACTTACCACGACTGTCAAAGTGAAGCCAGCGCAGACTAAACATATTGGTAAGGCAATTGCTATCCTAACATCAACAGAAGGAGGGCATTCCCCACAGTCTGCTGGACAGATAGAGCAGCCTTCTTCTTCCTCACAAAAGCCATCTCCACAGACTATTTAGAAAACAAAACATTTTGAGGCAGTTTCATCCATCCACAAGATTGTATTCAGATTTAAACATGTGGTTCTTGACCTGGGAAACCTCAGAGTCCCAGAAAGAATAAATTTTGAAGAATTCAGAGATACCATCCCAGCAACTTAAAGAACAATCTGAATTTCTGAGGTAGTACAGGTTCTCTTTCATCAGGTTAAATGTTAATTACATCTGAGCCTTTAACATATCTTGTGTATAAATCACTTCGTCATCATTGTGTTTCTCATTATCCACTTTTTTTTTTCTGAAACTCAAAGCTCTTCAAGGCCAGCATTTTCTTTTGCATTCTTTGTATTTAATCCAGCACTAGTGATTCCAGGAAGCCAAGGACCATTCCACAGCAGCAGCAAAAAACACTGGGGACTGCAGAAAGAAATCTTCAACCCACACTTCAAGTATTTCCTTTACTTTACTCCAGGGTCTTATATAAATTATCAGCAATATTAGATGTAATTTAAAACAAAAGTTTTAAATAACAAAAGTCCTTCTCCCATGTCTTGAATGGTCTTTCAATTTTACCTCTAAGATTAAACTAATATCATGCAGTACTTCAGGCTTGAGAGGTGAGCTGAAGGCATTATTCTGTCGTTATGTAATTTTTTTTTTAAATTAAAAAAAAAAAACTAAAAAAAAAATCTACTGCTCAGTAATAATTCTGTTTCAGCCTCACTAATTCCAGTATAATACCAAGATAATAACAGAAGTCACTTTCTGTCTCAGGGGTAGAGCTGCATTTTTTAAAATTTCTTCTCTGATATATTGTAAGTTTCCTGGAAAATTCAGCTGCAGTTGTTTTGAAATGAGTAGAAAATGCTATAGATAAATACTTCTATTCACACTGGAGTTGCTTTGTGTTTTTTTTTCTTTTTTTTTCTGTAGCATTGTGAAATATATTCTCACACTTCCAAAAGAGTAGCTAACAAGAATATTGTGATGACACTTTTCTTTTAGCCAATAACTTTCTTCAGGTTGTGTGTTTATTAAACAAGTCCACTTTTAAAATTTGACATCACTAAGAGAATTGCTAGAGTCATTTCTGCTTCCCTCCATACAGGTATACTAAAGAGAATGGAAGACTGATGCCCTTGGGAACAATTTTTAATGTGAACAACGGAACCAATATGGATTTCTACATTTCCAATACATTTAAGACTAGTCTGCTCCCCTTCAGGGGAAAAGTGTCTGGATTCTCAGAACACTAGCTGGAGGAATATTCTCACATTCTCATGAACTGCAGACAAGCCTTGTAGTACCTGAAGCCATTGGTGATGGTATTTGACTACTTATTTGACAAGAGTGGCTTTCTACTGCTCTAGATTAATACAACTGTTAGAAGCCCAAACACTTTTTCAGACTTCACTGTTATGTGAAGAAGAATTTCAGGAAGACATTTGTGTATTTTCAAAGAAAGGCTGGGGTAGGAATCGCTTTTGCTCTTGGTAACTATGCATGAATGATAATAGCATTGAGATTTGCAGTCAATAAGAAATTAGCTCACATTTTCATTTTATATCATACCTACTGCAGGAAGGACTGTGGTTTTTGCTTCCAGAGCAGCTTGGATTCTCCCAACTCTGATGTGTGCGATGAGAGATGTCACACCCACATGAACTAAAACAACCTGTGAAACAAGTGAACAAACCTGCAAGCCTCAAAACTTCACTTGCTTACAGTAGGCATTTACAACAAGAACTGACTGACTGTGGTAACCTTCAGAAGAATTTGTGCATTTCTTTCAAAATCAGAAGAGACAGCGCTTGTGAGAAAGACTGGTCTGATTCCCTTCCTGGTGTGTCTTCTTCTCACCATGTAGGGCTATCAGCCCTGTGCATTCTGCCATGTAAGCTTTCCTGTTATTTCTTTCAGGTAGAAGCTCCCTTATGGTCATATGAATCTGCATCACAGTCCAGTCAGTAGTGAAATGTATTCCTAGTGTGGACCTCTAATGGACAGATGATGCTCTTCATTTTCCTGCCAACCCCACTCCCTCCACTAACTACCTAAGGTGTAAAGATACCTTACTTGACTTCCAAGTCAAGTCAGTTGGGAATTGATAGTACTCAATTTTCAACTGATAATTGATATATATAATATAGATAATAACACATACATATAAATGAAAGAGGGAACATGTTAATGAACTGCATTAAAATACTAGCAAGTAAGCTCCAAAAAGAGCAAATCAGGTAAAATCCTATATGCAATAAATATACTTTACCTTGGCAGTCCAGTTCCTTTGGCTCATTTTGCCAGCAGTAGACAAAGTGTGAGTAAATATCTGACCATCATCTGGGATCCATGGACCACATATTCCTCCTTTAGCCTTTAGTAGACATATTGGTTATGTCAGTATACCATAACTCAATGAAAGTCCTAGCTCCTTGTCCTGGGTTGACTATATGATGCTTTTATCCCCAATCGTCTTGTTCTGTTCCTCTCTTACTTTCTCAAAATTATTTATGTTCTCTAACAGCAAATAAAGTTCTATTTTATAACCAAAACTGTCAAAATGCCAAAACAAAAGCAACACTGTTCTATGACAAAATAACAGAGAAGCAATTGTTCCTATATTCAGTTAAGATCTCACATATACTGTTATTTCTTAAAATATGAGCCTCAGCAGTGTACTCATAGAATGAGTGTTTTTATGAAGCTGGTTCACTTTCTTGGATTTCCTGTGCTAGAACCAGAACCAGAATTTTATTCCACTTTTAATATTTTTCTCAAGAGGTTTTACTGAAGTGTTACTTTTGATACAGCAGCTTTTTTTCTTTTTTCTTTAATGAGGAAGGGAGGCACTGCTTCAGGGCCTGTTTGCAGAATACTTCTCAATAAAGCTATTAAGATTTAAACCTCCTACAACTGCAAACATGGAGGATTAATTTTGGCTGTCCAAACTTCTTGCAGTTTTTTGCTTACTTGAAAGGATTAAGCCTGTCTCCTAATTCCAGATAATTCTTCAGACATTTCTTTTGAAGGACTGTAAGTAATAGACCAAGTCAAAAGAAGTGGAGTACATTAACAAAAATAAAATGTTTTAGAATACATGACACTGAAAAAATAAAGCAATGAAAACCCAAACTCCTCTCAAACAATGGAAAAAACTTACTTTGAAGTGTATGTTCAATCTTATGCAGTGATAATCAACTCTGTAACAGTCAGAGTTCCTTTAAGCTCAGAGTTCCTTTAAGCAGAAACCCTAACATTTAGAGTACTATGAAGAAACCAGATGATGCATGTTGGTGAACATGCTTTTGCCATTTCCACACCACAATTTCAAGCAGAACTAATTATGAGACTAGAAATAATAGAGAGGTTACCTAAGCAGTGGGATGTTGAAGTTTTTTACTATGGTTCTAGACAAAAATTTTGATGTGATGGTTCCAGCAGGGATTCTTCTTTTAAACCAAAGTCCTGGTGCCAGCTAAGGTTTTCAGTGAATCATTAATAAAACAAGTCCTCAAGAAAGACTGCCAAGAAGCAAACTAGAGCTGTGGTGGAGTCATAAGACCTTCACACATAAGGGTATATGAAACAGCTGCAAGTTGTGTAGGCTAGGCTTCCTATTACACCACCTTTGATCACAAAGAATGTGTCACATTTCCAGAAGGGAGATTAACTAGAAAAACTAGGCAGCTGCATGAAAATTCTTATGCAGGGTAAGGCTTACCTCACAGATTAAAAAAAAAAAAAAAAAAAAAAAAATTGCTCCAAACTGTATTTTTAGATCAGAACTTTAAGTAGCTATTCAAAGAGGGAAGAGGGACAGGCCAAGATGACAGGCTAAGAATGGATCTTGCCTTCACTGCATGAACAAATTTTGTTCTATTGTATTTAGATTTTTTTTTTTTTTTTTTTTTTTTTTTTTTTTTTTTTTTTTTTTTTTTTTTTTGCTCTGATACAATGAAGAAAAAATCATTCTATCTCAGGACACAGGTAAATAGGCTTCAGTTCTATAAGTCACAGTTGGTAATACTCACCCCCCCACCCCCCAACTCCCAGTAATCTAAGCAAATTATTCACACTCACTCTATAAAAGAGAGTCTGGAATACATCCAACTGAAAATTTGCCTTGCCCGTTTTAGATTGCAGAGATCTGTCTTTCTTTCTCTCTTGGCTGCATAGCAGTCCAAGTCAGGTAAACTCAGACAGATGAAACTGGTCCCACTAATGGGAAATTCTGAATACACCCTTGCAGCCTCAGCATCCAGTGCAAAAAAATTTCTAAAACTGACAGATATTGCCACAGTGGTTTTAGTGAACCATAATTTGTGAATATATAGCAAACTATATAAATTTGGTCTAATTGTAATCACAGAAGTACTTCACAAACTTGAACCTGCTTATCACAACGATATCTCAGCCAGTAGCAAGAACAGAGCACATGATGCTGCACCATCCCACTAACCATGAAGGCCAAAGGACAGGAATGTATATTGGCATGGTAGACACAGCAGTTGTCCCCATTTGCATCTTTCCATCTGGCAGGACAGTCATGCTCTTCACAGAATTCCTTTGCAGCAGTAGCATTGCTAACCAAGCAGGAGAAAGAGAAAAACTTTTACATCCATTCCTCATTCATAAAAATTGCAAAAAACACGACAGCTTGCTCTTTATCCTACACAGATAAATTAGCAGCAAAAACATATTAAATAAACACTGTTGAACCATTTCTTTAATTTTGTCTTCTAGTTGAAATGTTCCTGGAGCACTAGAGATTGTTGTCAACTGGACCTCTGCCAACTGCCATGCAGGGACCTGCATGCTGCAAGCATGCTGCAAGCATGGACCAACCTCCACTACTCTTTCCAACCTGACTTCATGACCAGGTGGGAGGCACTTCTTCATCTAGAAGCACAGACAATGACACTATTATTTTACTTCCACTCTCAGATATATGCGTCCTTGGCTACTTCCAGTCTCAAAGTTTTCAATCAGAAACTTTCATCTATGCATGAAATACATAGAGACCGTTTAGCTCCAGTTTTCACTCCACAATCTAAATTGCCAAGGAAAATAAGTATAATGGACTTAGACATCAGATACAATTTCCCAAACTTCAAATTTAGAGTAGATTTTCTGAACAGACTATTCTGCAAAACAACTTTGGAAAACTTATTCCTGAAAGATGAATGTATTCACCTTGAAATGTGTGATGCAACACTGTTTCCTCAGTTACACTTTCAGTGGTTATCACTCTAATAAATCTAGCTGTAAGACAAAATTGTTTTCTGCAAACAAGATTTACTCAGATACAGCCAGAATCAATTGCAGTTGAGCTCAAATGTTATGCACTTTTATTTGATATTTATAAAACAATTTCAGAACACAGGATTTATTTTTTGGCTTGTTCTTAATGAAAGAATTAGCCAATAATGAGTAGATCTAAAACAGTAGGCTTTGCTTATTATGAGAAGACTGTGTTTATTATAAAAAATAAACAAAATGACAAAGCATTAGGTTAACATAGATTGTATTCATGGCCAGATTTACAAGAGCATAGACATATTTGAAATATGAGATAAGCAAATATGTCAATCTCCAAAACATCCAAACAGATAAAATACTAAAATTTATTAGCCTTTGAGTCCATACTGGAAGTTAAGAAAAATAATTCATTAATTTGGTGTCGAATTCCATAATCTACTTTTCTTTAGTGCTCTTTTTCAAAATTTATCCAGTATTCTGTAGTTTTTATTCAATAACTTCATCATGGCTTTATCCAGTTACACTGATGCCCATATACTGACTTGCCAACCTCAGGTATATTTGGGTCAGCCTTTATTGTCAATGGTATCGTCAACGGTAACCTTTATTGTCAACTAGACTTAGACAAAATGAGATGCAAATTTCATCCCTTTGAAAACTGAAGCATAGATTTATCTCTCTTTTTATAAAATACTTGACATCTGTCTCTGTGTTCAAGGTGCGTACAAGTGCACAAAAAAACCAGACTTTTCCAAGTTTCTTACTGATTTGAGGGAGTGGATCTCCCAGGGAAGACTAGAAAAATCAGATTCATGCCAAGCAGTCAAAAAACATGCTTCATGGTTAAGTTCTCAGAACTATTAGCAGCCACACATTTCAGAAAATGTGATAAACAAATTTTAAGTGGTTTTTAAACATAGCATATACATGGCCCAAATAATAAAAAAATCATCTTTTTCAAACAGATTATGGATCATCTTTCAATATGAAATAAAATAACACAGGATAACAGCTCTTACAAATTGAACTTTGCAATGTGAAGACTCAGGCAGAGAAAAATGTTCTGTAAACATCTCTTACACAATAGCATAGAAAGTGGGGTCCCACCCTCTGTCTCAGGTGTTCCTATATAGGAATAGAGAATTGCAACTTACAGACAAAAGCATGAAATCAGAGTGTACTGCCCCTGGGTTTATAGATCCAGAACTGTAGATCTGGAGCTGCACCCCTACATATTCTTTAACTACTGATGTCCACAGTCACTAAGACAGTATGTGAGCTGACATATAAGTTTTAGGAGTGATTTTAATCCCACAGAAATCAAGCATGGTTGACCACTGAATTAAATGGATTCAGGGCTGGACTAGCTCTTTTTCATATCCATGTTGTGCACTTGAATCATACTTGTGATTGAAATGAGTATAAGATACAGAGAGCCTGTGACTCATGATTAAACTTCAGCTATAAATTCAATGTGTAGAGAAGGCAAGAAGTGATGTCCAGATTTGCACTGTGACAGTAGTGATGTGCCCCGTCTCTGACCTAGCAGGCAAACATGCCATGATGGCTAGTCTGAGAGCAAAGGGAAAAACAGCAGGGCAAACAGAGCTATGAGAGATCGCAAAAGATGGAAGGAAATAATTAAGAACTCTAGAGTGTCTGTTCCAATTATATCACTGAATATGTACACACAAAATCCTCATATACTTATGACCATGATAGCATTTTTATAAGAAGTAATACCTGTGGGAAAGTATTCCATTTTGCACAGCATATTGATAAAAACTGTCTGAAGCAAAGACGGCATAGGTCACGTTGAAGGATTCCCCACTCACAGCCTTTTCTGGAGGCCTTTGCACCCATGTCATCTCCAGCCCTAGAAACATTGCAATCATGGGTCAGAATATTTGCTATACGTTTTTACTTAACAGATACATACAAATGTAAAACTTTCTATGCATTGATTTTCATCTATTCATAGGTTCATAGAGTAGTTTGGGTTAAAGATCATCTAGTCCATCCTCCCTTGCCATGGGGCTGGGACACCTTCTAGTAGACCAGGTGGCTCAAAGCCCTATCAAACCTGGCCTTCAACATTTTCAGAGATGGGGCACCCTCAGCTTCTCTGGGCAGACTGTTCCAGTGCTTTACAACCCTCTGAGTAACCCTCTCAGTATTCTCCAATTATTTTCTGAGCCAAAAAGAGTCATGCAAGTATTTTAGTGGCTGTATTGGTAAATACAAGTGCACATGAATTGAAGAGTTCTGACACTCAGACCAAGCAGTTGGAGAAATGCAACAAAAAATCTGCTCATCTTGTGTAAACCAGCTTTGCTTCCAGGATATAGCATTGCTGTTTGTTCTGGTATATTTGGTCTCCTCTTTTAATCAGGCAATATTGCCCTTAATTCTCGGCTGCTTTCACTGAGACACACCTTATTACGGAACAGAACAGACAACTCTACTCCACACAAAATTCAGTCAAAACCCTTAAATTCACGAAACATAAATTATATATACTAATTATTATATATTTAAGAATGCATTATCATGTGATGGAGCCATATGGCATCTAGAACAGAGGACAGTGGAAGGACACATCACTTATTTTCCATTTTCACAATTTTAACTGGGAAAGATGATTTACCCCCATAATGTCTCTTGTCCTTCAGGCCTGAGAATGAAGTAAGATAAAAGTTTGGAGAAGTCTTAAATCCATAAGCTTAACACCATTTAAATCTTCCCAGTGCACTCACCTACCTTTTTGTCTATTGTTGGATGAAGGTTTTAATTTGCACCCCATCAAATTACTTACATAATGAAACTATGTAACTCAGTTTGCCAGGAAATATTGAATTACTTCTGCAGAGGACTGGTAAACCTGCCTTACAAGACATCTCATTTTTTTGTTCTTCTTGTGCGGTTATGACCTCTTTTTTTTCTCATACTTGTTTTAACAAGTATGTTCTTTGCTTGCATTTTACTGAAACCGCTATTTTCCCCCTAATTTACTATCAGATTTAACTAGGCAATTTGTAAAATAATCTCAATTTCCCTTGATAATCTCCCTTGAAAAGTAAAAACTCATTTTAATTGCTAACATTACATGAAAAACTATAATACAAAGATTTAAAAAAAAAAAAGCTAGTGTGATTTCTGCTAAAAGGTAAGAGAGTTGAGCTTCAAAGAGTATATGAGAATGAAGACAAAAGGTCAACACAAATTTCAGTTAAATTATTTTCTACTTCCTTATAAAGGTTTCACAAAGGTAAACCAAACTCTTCTTTCAATGACAGTTACTCCCACATACAAAAGCTTTGAAAATCTTTTGTTAATTCCACAGCAGTGAGGCTACAGTATATGTGTTTTGTTTTGCTTCTAGCAATGCCCAGAAAATGGCAAAGAAAACCTACAAAGAAAAGCAGGATAGAGTTTGAAGTTCATTCTAAAACTGATTGTAATGGGTATACATTAATTAAGCAACCTCTCATGTTAGCTTTCCTTGTACTTAGTAAAAATAGCTTTAAACAAGGCATCTGTAGTGATAAATAGCTATTTCAATGTTAAACCAATAGTAAATTCATACAGAGACAAAAGCCTTAGTTGAAATTATCTAGAAAGTCTCTGAACTTCATTGTTCCAAGAGAATTAATTGAAGAATGTTTAACTGTAACATTGAGCTAAGAGTGTGACACAGCAGGGTATCTCCTGGAGTGTTTTATTAGAACCACCTTCTGAGATGCTCTTGTTTTTTTTTCTAAAAACCCTATTGAATGCTTGTCTCCAGTCCTACCTTTCACAACATAAACAAACCATTCCTTTACATCAGTCATTTATTTGTTACAGAGTCACAAGATCATAGAAGAGTTGAATTTGGAAGGCACCCACAGAAATCATTCGGTCCAAGCCTGTGTTGCTCAAGGCAGGGTCATCTCAAGGATGTTTCTCTAGCATTTGTCTAGTTAGGTTTTAAAAATCTCCAAGAATGGAGAAGCCACAACTTTTCTGAGAAACATGCCCTACTGCTTTATAACCCCGAGAGTACAAGAAACTTTTCTTGTACTTAAATTCAGTTTTACACATATCAGTTGCTCCTTAATTAGTTTTTCATCTCAATAAATTATCAATATAAATTGTTGTTGTTGTTGTTGCTATCTCATCATGTAAATTCATTTTGGAAACTGGCAGGAGTAAGTGGTTAAAGTCTCAGGGTTTTTTTAGGTACTCATGGAAGAGTCTTGTGCAAGGTGGAAAAGCACGATGTAGAATCAGTGATTTTGCTTACTGGCTCATTGATTAAGCACAGTACACTTTTGAAATGACACTGCAAAGTTTCAGCAATTATATTTGCTACAATGCTGTGCTGCCTCCATGCTTTGTTTGGATTAAGTTCCATTTGATTTTCTAATGAGAAAGAAAATGTTTTCAGTTTCTCTCTGGGCAAATGGATACAGCTGTTGTTATTACTTTTCTGTTGGAACAAAGGTATACTGGACAAAGTATACCTTTGTTCCAACGGAACAAAGTACCTTTAATTGTTTTCTTTCACTTGTTTCTCAGGAAGAGAGGCTGTCACTGATTTAGACGCTTTTCACCACAGATAACATCCGTCATGAATAAGCTATTATTATGAATACTTCAATCTTGGGGTTTCAGCCATTCCCCAAGAAAGACACCTAGTCTTCTTTATGACTCACTCACCTCCACAGTCCAGCATGTTATACTCATCTGGCTTTTCCAGGGGCCAACAGTCATAGTCTTTGTTATCTAAATCATGCCACCCCTCCACTAATACCACCTGCCAGAAAAAAAGAAAAAAAAAAAAAAAAAAGAGTCAAAAAAAGACAGGATGAGAAAAAGGGAAAGGATGGATTCCATTTCCTAAGTTTATAATACTTCTTCAGAAATCAAACAAAATGCACAAACACAGGCTGGCATATTTTGACCTCACTAACTTCTGGAGGGAAAAAGGAAAAAAAAAATCCATACAAACACAACCAGTAAGTTATTTTGATTTGTCCAGAAACTGGCATGAAACAGTTAGGGGACTTAACTAATATTTTTCTCCCAAAATGGTTCTTTATAAAGAGTAGATGGTTCTAGGACCATATGCAAAGAGGCAGTTTATTTAAAGAAGTTTTTTTTGTTTGCTCAGTTTCTTTTAATGTTTCATACCTAGAATCTTTGAAGGAGTAATTTTTTGTTATACTTTTAATAACAAGAAAAATTTTAGTCATATAAATGTTAATATACACAATGACACATAAAATAAGAATTTCGTAAGCCTATTGTAGGTAGAACACAGCATCACAATAGCACACAGATTGAATTGTAACAGTAATAATAATAACACTAAATATGTCTATATAATACACTGTAACAGATTATACTAGTCATGTATTAAAAAATACACTTTAGGGTGTATATTAACAGATCAGAATACTCGATGATACTGCACTCCAAGCTTATTCTATTTCTAGTAAAAGATAATAGTTTCTACTCATGCAATCTGCTATTGTTTTTCTATATATTATTAAAGCATAATCATCTACTGTATTGTGCAATTGGTTATCACAACACAATGTGAATAGAACAAGATAGAATGGTACAACTTATTTTTCCAATATATCTTCCACTACTCTTGTTTTCCACAATACTAAAATAAAAATCAATGACTAGTATAAATAGCTGTTTCACTGTAATAAGCCATATACGGTTCTTTCTGAACCCACTGATCAGAGGAATAAGTTCTGGTAAGCAGATCTAGATAGACCTACCAAAAAACTGAGGAGGCTTCGGAGCTCTACAGCTGGTGATTTGACAGCTCTCATGCTCCCTAATGTGCACCCAGCTCACCAAGTGTCAGGGCTGCTTCTGATGTTGCTGCTGCTTCTGAATTATATACCCTTGCCTAAGAAGGGGGTTGCTAGGCAAGCTGATCCTGGCAACTCCAGCTGCTGCAGCTGTTCTGCCTCTTCCTTCCCTCTTCTTCCACTTCACAGTGCAGGTGGAAATACCCCTCTGAAACCCTTCAAAAAGTCCCCACTTGTTTTAGGGGCAGTCCCACCTCCTGAAATTTGTGCCCCTGACTGATTAAAACTAGAAAACCAACTAGGGGGATTTTCTTGCAGTGCTTTGTCAAACATGAGCAGCATCCAACCCTCAGGCAGATGAATTGATGTTGTGGACATAAACAGAGAGACATGGCTGAGCCCAAAGAAGAAGCATATAAACACCAAGGCAAGCAAAGGCTACCAGTATAAGATGAACAGAAAGGCTGACCAGCTTCCTGAGCTTCCTTCCAACATGAATTGTATGAGACTCTGTGACTTCAATTTCTCAGTCCCTGAAGGTATAGGACAACTTCTATCTAAGTGTCCTGCTACATACACAGGTGAAACAGACTTCTATGTAGCTATGCTGGTACAGTAAAGAGATAGATGTGTCCATTAATATCTTTGTTCGCTGAAGCCCTGCCAATACAAATCTTCTGTTGTGATTCAGCTCTCCAGAATATTTCTCTGTGTTGCCTCTTGAATTCTGTCTCTCAGCACAATCTAATATTAACAATCTTAGTTAAACTGCTTGAACTTCACAATTTCTTGCATCAAAATGGCAGGAAAAAGACTGCAATATGTGCCCAGATAATCTCGAAAGAGCTGTAGATGAATTAAAAAATCTGTTTGGCTTCCCTCATTAAAGAGCTATTTATATAAACTATATGTTTTAGGTTGAAATTTTATGTTTGTTGTGAGATGCTAAACCTCATGTGTGTTTTGTCTTCCTGTGCTACGATAGATTTCACTATGTGGAAGTCTTGTAGAGAATTTTTTTGTTTTTGTACATTTATCTACTTAAAACAGCCCACTTATATTAACATCTTGGAGAGGTTTTATTGGCCCTGTGTTTTAGGAGGAATTTGCTGGCAGGGAAGCTAAGGATTATAACTTGTTAGATACTATGGAAGCCAAAAAATTGCCGGACTGATCCTATTTTCTTTAATTGGACTGACAAATATTCAGATGACGTTGATTATCATTATGCTCAAGGACTGTAAATATCATACATTACATTTACAACTACTTGTCTGTCACCTCACTCAGAATTCCTGGAGAATGGCCACATGTACTTGGGAATCTTGGATTAAAGATGGACAGACAGGAATGACTGTCAATTGTCTGATTTAACAATCTATTCCAGCTACTTTATCTGATTTAACAATGGATCCCAGCTACCTGAGATGCACATTACCACCTCTGATTGAAGCGGAAAAGCACTGGAAATTTTAAAAAGAAAACCAGTGCAATATAAATATACAAACCTTTGTAAAAAGGATTGATAGCTCAGTGAGCAACATATTCTTCAGCTCTCTCCACAACTCTCTAGATGTAAAAGAAATCAGAAATACATTTTAATATAGTTAAGTACTCATCAATAATTGCTTTACATTTGCCCCTTTTACTGTTTGTAAGTTATATGCAGTTACATAATTTAATATCCTACCATTCTATCATACCACAGATGAGTTTATTATCACAGCCACACCCATTCTAGCATACATTAAGTGAAATCTATGTACTGCTGCTTGACTTGCTTAGTGCAACAATACCAAGTTTTTGGCTTCTTCTCTTCAAAGGATCTCTTAATCTGAAAACAAACAAACAAACAAACAAACAAAAAAAACCCAACAAAACAAAACAGGTAATTTCTACTGATTGAAATAAAATTATCAAATGACTTTATGTTTACAGATGTATTTCTATTATGTTGACTGTACTCAGACAGTCCCTTAAGCAACATTATTTCCATTTCAGTAATTAGCACAACAATAACTTCTGTTATGAAAGCAAGAGGCAAAATAAAGATATTTTAAAAATTTATGACCAAGAGAACTTTAGATATTGCTAAAAACATGCACTCTTGTTAATGTTTCAATAATCATATAACTTACATACAATTTTTTAAATAGTTGTAGCAAATAATAACAACGGATATAATATTGCTGAACAAAAGTTGCCACCTATGTTCTTTCAAGTATTTTAGGAATAAATATTTTAGGATAGCAATTTACAGCAGTAAGTCAAAACAAAAATTAGTGTGATGAAAGACTCAGATATCCTTGAAAATATTTATTCTGACATTCAAATTTTCTGGATGGTTCTTGTCTAGGAAGCAAGACAAGGATATTGAGTTACAAAAACAAAACAAAAAGCCCAAACAAACATCAACAACAACAAAATCCCAAAAAAAAGCCATAACAAAAGAACCATCAAAACCCAAAACCCAAAAAAACCCCTCCTAAAACTGCAAACAATCAAACCAAAAAAGCAAACAAACAATCAAAAATACCCACACCCAAAAAACCTAAAACAATCAAACAAAAAACCCAAAACAAAAATTCAAGAGCCACTATCATGATTTATTTGACATTTAAAAATTATGGCATTCCAAAGACACCATTTATCATATTCATGAGAGCTGTGCTGTGATTTGTGAAATCAGTAGCTAAAACTTTACTCCTTAGCATGTAAAATTCCACTTATGCAGAGTATGTTCATCCTGTGCATGGGTTGGCATCCCGCTCAGTGCTACACCGCTCCAGGTTCCTAGCATCTACAGTGATGTAAGACTGTCCATGCTATTCTCATCTTACAATGAAAGCTCCAAAAGCATTTTAAACGACACGGAGTTCGAGTGCCTGTCTCAGTGGGACCAGCACAGCTTCCCCTGCCCGCGGCGTTTGCTGGGTACGGCCAGAGCACTCGCACGCTGCTCCCTAGTGGTTTCCAGCAGCACAGCGGCACGCAGGGTCCCACCGCGGCCGGTCTGGCCCAGGGACAGCTTCCTCCGGACGCACCCACAGAGCACGCTCTGGTTTAAGGAAAGCCTCCTCTTGATGCACCCACAGAGCACGCTCTGGTGCAAGAAAAGTCCTCTCTTGATGCACAAACCGCTGCAAATGGAGCGCAGAGCAGTAGCGCAGCACAGAACCTGTTCAATTTCAGTTTCTCACCAGGGAGCTCAGAGCAGCAGATGGTGGCCTTCTACCCCTTCCCAAGAGCAGAGGGATGCACTGCGCAGCCACAAGAAATTTCCAGGACTCTGGCGCGTGGTCACAGTACCACAGCACAACAAGTGATCACACCTTCACTGGGTCGCCCTAATGATTTGCTTATGCATTCTCAGCCTGTAAAGATAGGGTTTTGCTGACCTGGGTAATGCAGCCTTATAGACAAAGGGTGTTGACTTTGTCTTGTAAATCCACATTGAAGCAAACAATTACATGTGCCAAAAGAGGCCTTTCAGCATGGGTTTCTTGTTCTCTTCTCATGGTGCTGGTCTTCCAAGCTTTCTGCTGCTTATGAAATGAACTGGACAACTGAATCAAAAGCCTGATCTGGCTACATGATGATGATGATGATGATGACAATTGTTATTATTATACATCACCTTGAAAGGATTCAGTGTTTTCTTCCTCCTACCCTTTGTCTTTTTCTCATCATTCTTGTTGCAAACACTTACTCAAGTAACACACATGTGAGCTCACACAGTTCACTGAGGTTTACACGTCATCTGAGCCTGAATAAGCAGATTTTAAAAATAACACCTGAATTCTGAATTATATACCCTTGCCTAAGAAGGGGGTTGCTAGGCAAGCTGATCCTGGCAACTCCAGCTGCTGCAGCTGTTCTGCCTCTTCCTTCCCTCTTCTTCCACTTCACAGTGCAGGGTGGAAATACCCCTCTGAAACCCTTCAAAAAGTCCCCACTTGTTTTAGGGGCAGTCCCACCTCCTGAAATTCGTGCCCCTGACTGCTTAAAGCTAGAAAATCAACTGGGGGGATTTTCTTCCAGTGCTTTGTCAAACATGAGCAGCATCCAACCCTCAGGCAGATGAATTGATGTTGTGGACATAAACAGAGAGACATGGCTCTCTGATTTTCTCCAGAATGACAGATAATTTAGTTAAAAGACTAAACATTGTAATAAGTTGCACAGTAGATTAGTAGCTTCAGAGGTACTGAGTGCCCTCAATCTGCTGGGAGATCTGAACAGGTAATAAAGTGTGGGTCTGAAGAAATGCTGGAGAGCAGTAAGCAAGATCCTGAGCCTTGCACACACACCATCACTTACATTTGTAGTACCTCTTCATTTCTCTAATACATTTTTTCAAATATTGAAAGTTTGAGACAATTTCAAAGAGGTCTCAAGCTAAAAAAAAAAGGTAATCATACCTTAAAGAAAGAAGTGATGACATATTGGCTTTCAAGGATCTGAAAGGTTAATGTTAGGCAACTGATCTTTGATGACAGTTTACTTACAGCAGAAGTAGCAGTTACATACGTACACAAAGGAACAGAGCAGGGAGGCAGTATGAAAGCAAAAAAGGTAACTACAGCCAGTGAAAATTACAGCAAAGAAACTGCTTATTCTGATGACCACCCACAATGTTGTACATACCTCAGAAACTAAGAGAAAACTCAAAAAAGCAAGTAGTATTAATTGGTGAAGATGGCAGGTAATTTTCCCTGCACTCTCAGGTTACTGGGAATACTGAAAAAATGAGTGCTTTTATAGATGCATTCCTAGGTTCACTCTAATTCATGACGCATCATAGGAAGGCTTGTTATGCTGCTGTACTTTGGATTTGGTCTGCGTCACTAAACAAGTCTAAATATTTTATTTCAAAAATGTTAGAAAATACATCAAAACTTGAAATGAAAAGTATCTTGTATACTTCCTCCAGGTTGTATGAAGACTGTCACCTAGGATATGTCACAGACTTGAAGAAGCAGCATTTTTCCTGAAGAATAAGACTATTCTCTGTTTAGACGACTGACCAGTACGTGAACTATTCTGGAAAAGAACCCAACATTCTAGAATTTTCATGATGTAAAACATGTATTTTTTTCTTCTTCTAAAGAGAAGACAGAACAATGATAATCTAAAATCCTGCACGGAAAATATTCACAGGTAAAAAAGTAACAGGTAACAGTGATTATCTCTAACTGAAAATATTGGTGATGTTAGTTATTTGATGTAATATATGACTGAAAGCCTCCAAAGAGACTCGATAAGAAAAAAAAGGGACTCTTAGTTCTCAGAAAAGCCACCAGGAATTTTATTTTCAAAGTAATCCAGGTTAAACTTTAGAAAATCCTGGCCTATGTACATAACTTAATATAGATTTCTGCAGAAGGGATTTTCCTGAACAAATCTTTGTTTTTCTGATACTGCAACATAGCATGTCAATGCTGTAGTTGTTCAAAGGGCATTCAGCAAGCCTGAGAACGTGAGAATGAATTTCAGTTTGTCAGGATGACTGCCTGGGAAGCTTAAGAAGAGTGGGTCCCAGTTCAGCACAGAATAATTTGAGTTTTTCAGCTGAGCAGAACATTACTGATGTTCTCAAATTCCTCCCATCTTTCAGTCCTCCCACACAGGCAGAAACATTACAGATGTCTGCAGTGCTTAAGAACAGAAACCCTGGCTGCTCTTAAGATCTACTGGAGGACCTGGGTAATAGTGACATACAGAAGCTGAGGTACAATTCTGTTCTTCGCCTGCATCATGATCCTAAGATACACTGGTCATTCCACTGGTAGTGGCATTCAACTGAAATCTGCCTTTTCACTGAATGAGTTTTTCCTGTCCACCTCACTTCTCACTGTATTAGTCATTCATTTTTCCAGAACTCTTTAATGATTTTCTGAAGCTCATATTTTTATGTATGATTAGCACTGCACATCTATGGACACTGCCCACAGCCCTTCTCTCCCCGAGAAAATGCCCTCATAAGCCACAATTGCGTCCACGTTTCCAGGATGTGGTATGATCAGGAATTCCTAAGAGACACTGAGAGTTCCCCGAGACAGGGTGTCTCTTAACTGAAGGGACATTTAGCCTTATTGATAATCTCTTTGGACCAATCCAAAAAAGAAAAAGAGATCCAGACTATTTCCTTTCCTCAAGTCATGATAATTTCTGCATATGCCAGGCTACAGAGGTGTTTGCCTAACTTGTTTTTAATAATCATTGGAAATGGAGCCTCTATCCCTTCCTTTGTGGTATAATCCAAGGCTTCAGTATGCTTCCTTGGTAGAAGCGTTTCTCTATAGCCTCACCAGCTTCTATCTTGCTATAATTTCAGTTCAATTCTTATCCCAGCTACACAAAGAACAGTCAGATTGTTCTGTATCCTTTTTACATGCTCAGTCTCCACTGCTCTGGTTTCTGACAGTTACTATGTATCAAGATGCCTTACACAAATGTATTCTCGCATTTCTTCACAGGAAAAAAAAGGATCATCCTATTTTCTGTAACCCAATACAGGAATAAAGGCAGATTAAACAACAACAACAGCAACAACAACAAAAATCAGAACAGATATTTCAACTGTTTCAACAGTTGAAGTTGAAAGAATTAACACTTTGTCTTTGGAGTTTTGTATGCAAAAAAAATCAGTGAAAATGCAGCCTGGGATCACTACCATGCAAACACTCTCATTCTGTAATTACAACACATGTCAGTTACAGAGAAACGTAAAAATCAGTCTTTCTTTAACATCACAGTCTTTCTGCTGATGGAGACTTTGTCTCAATAAACTTTTTTAATCTGTGCCTCAAGTGGAGAAAAACTTCGTTTGGCATAATGCCACTTTGCAGAATGTTTTGTGATTGACTAATTGACAGAAGTAGTCTAGTGGGAGAATAAGATTTTTGTATGCTACTGAACCTGGAAAGATTTCTCAGCTATTCAGGATTCTCTGGTTCTTTTACTACATTACTTTTGCTGCTGAAGTCAGACATGTCTTTCTTCCATCAGAAAACACTGGGCAGTCAGGAACTTCTTTACCACTTGCATTGTAGATTTAACCCAAGAAATAGTAGCTCAAATGGTCACTGAAAGGAAAGAACAGAAAATAAAACTGGTTTGATTTGAAACCCAAATACCTTATGAGACATACCTGTTGGGAATAAAATAAGGTATCCTTTGTAGCCACGTGCAACTACCATCTGATTTTTCAGACTCACTTTAACTGCAATTCCTGGCACATGTCTTTGCTTTTCACAATAATGTGCTAGTTCCAGAATGGAAAATTTGAGAACCTACTGCAAAGAGAAATGTGATCATATGAAGTCATATTCATAAAGAGGATTTTTATTTTCCACTAGCTCAATTTTATGTTGTCTAGGTCTACTGCTAATTGCTTTTTCTCCTGTTTTTTTGATATCCCTCTCCCTTCAGAGAGTACACTGCAAAGTGGAATCCTTAATGATTTCTAGTGTAGCCTGGTTGTCAAGAAGCATGATATGTCAGATGATTCTACTATAAACAGTGCTCTGCTGTCAAATACTAGTTTGGACTTGAGCTGTATCTTCTCATCTTACAGATTTCTTCCAGACCCCTCACTTTCTTTACAATTCAGTTCCTATAATTCCCTGGTTTTTAAAATTTCAAAAAGAGATTATCAAAGACATAAATAGCAACCAGAGGCCTGATATTCACTGAATCTCCACACAGCTTGCTGATACCTAGTTCTCAAAAAACATCTGATTTTTATATATTATGTATAAAGCAAGTAATAAAAAGGAAACACAATCCTGACATGGGTTTTAAGCAGCTATGCTCCCTGAGCATGCCCCTGTCTCCTGGAAGCTACCCAGCTGCTCTTATGGCCAATACAGAGAGCACAGCTCTTCAGTCATGAAGCCACATGCAGAACTGTCACCTGAGAAGCCCTTACAGGGACTCCTCACCTTTCTCCAGCATCTGCTGGAGAATTAGGCTGGGCTCTCACACTTGTTTTCTGCCAGAGCTATATTGCACCTATGCCCACACCTGGCTAGGAACCCTGTTGATCTGAATCCACATCGATTTGACCTCCTGGCTTGACCTTGGATTTATCTCATCATCATGTTATCTGTTACCATCACTCACTCATCTGTTAATCTCCACTTTTGGCTGAAGACTATCTATAGACCTGTCATC